GTTTTTGTGAATTACCCTCATTTTACTCGGATTTCTCGTTGTTTTTTAATGGATTTTCCGTAATTTCTGAGTTTCAATTTCGACTATTAAGTTGTGAAGCTATTGAAAGGAGGAGAAAAAAAAACAAGTTATGCAGCTCTTAATGGCATTTTTCTAGTTCTCTCCTTTCCGTTTGTAAACTAACTTGAATTCGTAACTTTTTGAAATTTGAAAAATAGCAACAGTTTTTTCCAATGAACGATTGCGTATAAATTTGAAGCAATTTTTACGGTATTTTTTTTATCAAATTTGATTTATAGTTCTTATACAATTAAAAATATCGAAACTTATTGTGCTTTAAAATTTTTACTTATAGACTATTATTTAATATGCATTCTAATTTTACGAAAGAATCTACTACGGTAATATGCATCGGTTAACAAGTATAAGTACAAAATAAATAAATAAGCGATCATAACTGCAGAAAAGTATTATTTTGGGTTGGTATTCTTGGGAATACTTGACGATAACTAAAAAATAGTACATTTCATGAAAAAATCTGAATGGAAAAAAATGGATATTTATAAATTCTGAACATATCTCCTTCTTGAGAAAACTTATCTATCTTTATTCCAAATATAATATTTACTTATTATTCAAAATATATAGTTTAGCACAGCCATTATTTCAAAAGTACGTGATAAAATTAAGTGAAACAGTTCTGATGTCATAGCATAGCAAAATCAAAAAATTCAACAACAAAAAAAAAAGCATTTTCTACCGTTTTAATTTTTGAAAATGATTGGTCACCACCTTCTTAAGAATGTTTTTTGAAAGCTCTGTAGTTGCATCAAATGATGCTTTTTTTGCGGATAATATGCTCTTTTCCTAACTTAAATGACTTTGTAACTGTAACTCATAACTGTTACGCCAAGTCTAGCCTATCTTTAGCCAGCGCCCTCTATGTATTTTCTGAAAATGGCGAAACGTCAATACGGAGAAAAGCCACAGTTTTGAGAAAAAATAAAAAGCGTTTGTGGTCTAATTTTTTAATATTTAAAAACTTACTTCATTACTGCATTATTTGGGTTTATAAAAATTTGTAAAATAAGGTATTGATTTTGTTAATTTTCATGTAGATGGAAAAATGTTGCAGATTTGGCGATTTTTAAAATAATTCTTTACTTACCGTAAAGAATTAAACTTACCGTAAAGAATTAGACTAAAATTATAGCTTTGCTTCAAATTTAAGGCACTTAAACTGTGGCCATGGTTTTTCGAAAACCATGTTAGCCACCCAACGCCCAAATTTCTGCTCGTTTAAGTTGATAGAACATAAATAAAATTCAACTTCGATTTATGCAATTATGTAAATACAGATCTGACTTGACTTCTAATAAAATAGAGTTAAAAGTGTAATCATTAAATAATTGTCACCGTTTGTATTTAATTATTTTTTTTCTTTCCTTTCTACTCTGAATAATAATCTTCTGTATTGAGCTTTACATTCTATGACAGAATTTAATCTATCTGAATCGCCCTCTGCCATATTTGGATACTTTACAGCCTTTTGCTGTCAAGTTACGAAACTCCATTTCAAATTATGAGCGCGTGAGTGAAATAATTAGTTGCGTCAAATTGAGCGTTGATGCCGTAAACATTTAATTTAAGCCAATTGATTAGAGTGTTTACGACATCCGACGTTTCTCCGTGAATGCCAATAAAGGCAGAAATTATCTCCGCCTTCCCGAAGGCTAAATGCCTGACTTTATTTTTCTTCAAAAATGAATGCTATAATCGGTGCCTAAATAAATTAACCACTCAGTTTTGGGTTCATATTTTTCTTCTATATGAATGCAGTTGATAAACAATTTAACTTTGGTTTATTAAAGTGCTTTTGTCAACTCGTAATTGCAAAAAACCAGAAAAGTAATCAATTTTTTCTAACTTTTCATTACAATTGGGTACTTTTAAGAAAATCGCATATTACTCACGCACGTGACCTATGACGTCAGTGCCAGCTGATCGTTTGTAAGGGTAATGGCGTGTTAAACTTCTTCACATAAGTTAAAAAATGTTAATTTAAGTGAAGTTAACTAAATACAGCGCCGTCTCGCAAACCGCATATGTTGAAATATAATTCTTTCTCTCGTCTACATCTTTTACTTAACTTAGATTTGTTATTTATTTATGCATTTTATTTGTAACAGTGATGTATTTTTGTTTTGTGTACCTGACAACTTCGATGTTCTTAGTTAATGTTCTACATAGCTTCGTGTCATTTTTATTAACCCCTTAACGATCGGTTAATTTTCAAGAAATCGGTCATAAAAGTGCCTATTTTTTTGGCTTTTGTATTTGTATTAAGTATTTGATTAGTACTGCAACTAGTTTAAAATAACCTAACTATCTACAATTACCATAAAAATATCCTGGTACTGCCATCTGGTGTGTAAAATGAGAAATAAAATGTTTTCCGGGCAAAAGAAATTAATTAGTTTTATTCTTATTTGCTCGTTACTACTGAACACTCCAGCCCGTCAATATCACGGGAACGAGAAGTAGAGGGCGAAACCTCACCCCTTCATTTTCACGGGAGCGAGAAGGAAGGGGTTAAAGTCAGAAATATAAAGTGCAGGAATTGAAATCTTTGTGAAAGAATATAGTATGCGTCACTGAAAAGAATTGATACTTGACGGACTTGGCTTACTCGAAATAGAATGGAAAGAATAGTTGTTAACGTAAAGCAATTCAGATATTTACATCACTCATTCACTCACTCAAATGTTATAAAGATTATAATTGAACGGCGTGAGCTAGTATAGTGATAACATAATCCACAGATTTTTCTTAAGATAACATTTGTATATCAGATTAATTCCAGATCGATGGTTCACAAGTTTCCAAAATTACTGTTAGTTAACAGAACAATACATACATCTTTTTTTATTGCCTACATGAAACTTGTGGTGTTTTCAAAAGTGCTCATCTGAGTCATTTGGCTCGTCATTATATTGCCCTAGGCTTCGCATTTCTTAATTTTATTACGAATTAGCGAATTTCTTATGCCTTGTCAGAACCAGATTCCAAACGCCTCGTCTATTCAATGCATGCATTGAATTAGAAAAGTTTTATGACATCAGAAAAGAGCTAGGGGAAAAAAAGCCTAACTTAAGCACTAATTCTCATTTACTTTTTCCCCTTCCCCCGGTATTTTTCTTGCTATTTTTTTTCTTTAAAGCAAGTGCAAGTAATTAAGAAAGCACTTTTCAAAAGCCAGCAAAGCACACGTAGGCACCATTATATCTAGATCCATTAAAGAATCCCAAATTAAGTATTTTCTAACGAAACACAAAAGAAATCGTTAATTGCATTTGCTTGGAGTAGGATTTGGAAAAGGAAGAAAAAAAATTCAGAACAAGATAGGTTTTAATTTAAAATTCCCTCTTTAAGCTTTCGAAAGGGAATTATAAGAAATTGGAAAGGGGGGGGGGAAGGAAATACATATTTTATATTCATGTTCAGCTAAGTACAAAAGGGTAATGCACTTAACAGAAATGTAAAATTCTGAAGAACATGAACTGCTTAATAATTAGGAAAAATATTTTTGGTAATTGCTAATTAATGATCGATAAAATGTGTGTAAGCGTTCCTTACTTCTCTTCATTATATGCAATAATTTTTAAAAATCATCGCTGAGAGTTATCTACATTTCAAGGAAGGAAATAATATATAAGAAAGAAGTCGCTTTAATTATGAAGGTAATGAATCCAAAACGGATTAATCGCAGAATCGAAGCAAAGTGATTTAATCAGATATTTTTTTTTTCTTTCTTATTTTTCTTTAGTGTTCAATTTTTTGCTTGATATATATTGATCTGAATGACTTTAACGTTTTATAGTCGCCAGGTCGGTCAATGATCGTGATTTTCGCTACGGAATTTTTTTTGAAAGGAACTGATTTTTGCCTGGCGGGCTTTTCAACTTTGCTTCCCAGTCATCTTCCTGATGAGTGGGAAATCAGGACTTAGGTAATCAGGAAATCAGGTGAGTCATCAGGACTCGCCTAAAAATCGTAAACAAAAATTTAGCTTTTAGCAAAACAAATCGGGGATTAATGAATTTTGCTAAACCTAAAAAACCTTTAAAATTTTGAAAAAAAGAAAAAAAAAGTTCTTCAAAATTGCCTATTCTAAAGAGTTTTTTTTTTCCAAATTATTTTATAAACTTATATGTAAAATAAAAGACGGTGTTCGCCTTTATAAAAATAGCCGTTAACAAAAATTTGGTGGTTCATATATATGTTGCAATTTTCTTGATAATCCTGAACAAGAAAAGGATTTTTTTTTCTTCCGAAAATTAGAAGCTGTGGCCCGCGATGATTGTCATAAAGACGATTATCAACAGTATAAAATGAAACTTATTTCTTTTTGCATTAAGTTTATTTTATTATTATTATTTGTTACTATGAATTTGCAAAATAATACATCAATCCGACTTCGGCGACTAACTTGACTCTCTGTATGACTCGCTGTATGGCGACTCCTCATTAATTAATCACACACCGTTTTTAAATAATTAAAAAATTAGACCACAAAAGCTTTTCATTTCCTCAAAACTGTGGCTTTTCTCCATATTGACGTTTTTCGCCATTTTTAGAATAAGCATAGTCAGCACTGCTTTAGGAAAGGCTAAACATGTCCTAACAGTCATGAGTAACTGTTGCGAAGTCACAGCAGTTATGAAAATACCATATTCGTAAAAAAACCTAATTTCATATGGCGACGAACCCTTCGAAAAAACGAGATTTAATCGCTTATGGAAAAATTCTAATATTTTCTTTAAAAAAATTAAATTGCATTGTACCAATTAATAATCACAAATAAAAAACGGTATTCTGCATTTGCTTCACAAATTGGGTTTATAAGTAATCATTTATTGACAATGAAACTAAACTTATTTATAGATATATTTTTTAAAACTTACTCATTTTAATATTTTGATCGAATTTATTATTTTCAGCCTCCAGGTGGTGTTCCAGGCCAGCCTATGATTCCTAATAGTATGGACCCCACTAGGCAAGGTAAGAACTTTTTTCAATTTTATTATTCATGTTTATTCATGTATTCATCCAACTGTTAATGTTTGTTAAATTCCGTAGCGAATTTTTAAAGCCCAAAGGGGGAAAAAAAACCTCATAGTGTAGTTGAAAGGTAGTTATTTTTTTGTGTTTACTATATTCATTCTTTTCGTTAAAGGATACATTTTTTTTCTCAATTTTTGAAATTATGCTTCATTTCCTTTTGTATGAAATTTCAGTATTTTGTTTTTATAGAAAGCTAATTTAAAATAAAAACTCGATTTTTCTTATACGTGAATTCATTCATTCTACGTTTATTTATTTTATTTTTTGTTAGTTTATTTTGTATGTGTTGTCATTTCTTTTTTTTTATGCATTTTTAATTAAATTGTATATTTTAATTGCATTTATTTTTTCATTTTAAGTTAATGTTGGGGAGCAGAATATATTTTTATACGCTAATTTAATTTCGAACTTTTAAAAAGAAAAATAATATTTTGATCCTTTTGACGCGAAATTTTTATTGAACATATTCTTCTTACTTTTTTGTATTAATTTAGGTCAAAATAAATGAAAAATATTATATTTAGCATTTTAATAATTTCTAGTTATGAAATAGGGCATAAAACACCTGTGTCTTTTTCTGCGTTAAATGTAAAAATCTTCCAAACACAGATAGGGCACTTCCAAACAATAATTTATCAAAATTGCAGTTATTTATTAGATCTAAGAAAAACATATATTCATCATTTAATTTTTTTTTAATTTACAGTGTCAGTAATTGATACATTTTTAAATATAAATGGAAAATAAAGTTTTTCATGCCTTTTTTGGATTTTATATTTTAATACAAATGTAATTCCGATAATATAACTTATTTTTTAGTAACTATTAGATTGTTTTTTTTTATAATTGAAAATATATAAAAAGGGACACCGGTGTTCCATTTGCGTCAAATGATTAAATGATCAGCAGAACAATAATCTGTTGGGTATTAAGTTTTTTTTAAGGAATAAAGTTTATTTATAAAAATAAAAATTAATCTTCAATATTCAGAGAATAATTTGAAAGTTGTAGAATACTATTGAATAGAATGAGTTAGTAAGCTGAATATTATAGAATTAGTTAGTAAATAGCACAAAATTGATAAACTAAATTATGATGGATTTCTCATCAAAAATATTATTCCCTAACTTTCGTATAATTTTTTAACATTATTTGACAGTAAAATAGGTATCTAACAGTTTTAACCGATTGAGAGAAAATTGACATTAATCAGTAGAATAAATAATCTGTTGGATAACATATTTTACATTTTACAAAATAAGTTATTAAATTTTGCAAAATACTCTTACTTAATCTTACAGAAAATATCCTTGTCAAGTTTTCGTAAAACTTTAACATTAGTTGGCAACAGTCTCGAAGAAAGCTAATATTTTTTAATGATCGGCAGAACAATAAATAACCTGTTAAGTAACATGATTTATTCTATAGAATGAGTTTATAAAGTGTACAACATTCGGAAATCAGTTTATAAATGTATTTCTCATCGAAATTATAATGTAATAGTATTAACATTATTTGGCAGTATAATAGATGTCTAACAGTTTTAAAAGATTGAGAGAAAATTAACATTATTCTGTAGAATAAATAACCTGTTAGATAACAGATTTCATATTCTGCTAAATAAGTTTGTAAGTTGTTTAAAATTTGGTTTCTAATTTTTAACTTATTTCTTAACAGAAAATATCTTTGCCGAGTTTCCGTATAACTTTAACATTAGTTGGCAATAATCTTGAAAAAGGAAGTTATTGTTAGCTTCCTTCTAATCCAGTTTTGCATGAGACTGCTTATTTAATTATCCTTCTATCCTCTTTTAAAATCTCTCCCTCATCCTGTTTTCCTAGAGGTATGTAAACAGGAATAAAGAAAAGCAGAAATGCACAGATTTTTCCAGCTCCTTTAATTTAAGTAATACATACAGGATGCAAGTCCTCCTACAGTTATGAAAATATTTGTTTTGACTGCCGCTACTTCATTGTGTTTTTCCTTTAAAATTACGTTTTTTCTCCTTTTCTCTGTTTCCTTTTAAAATAAATTAAAAATGATTGTTGCGCTCAAGATGGAGATACAGAAAGGAATTTATTTGTGCTGTGTGCGTTACCTTTTATATATGTTGTTTATTCTTTTAGCTGTGCTATGTTTTTATATGCCGCCGCTGTTGGCTGTTGCCTTTTCTGTGCTCCACAGCTCATTATTTTAACATTTGCCTCTTGTTTCCTTTGGGAGATAAAAATGTTGTGATTTTTTTTTCCTCTTCTATTTTTTTCTTTTCTTTGGCGTGTAAAATTAATTCAGAAAAAAAGATTTTTGCTTGTCTAAACAAAGGTTTTCTGGATTTATGTAATCGCTTGGCTGTTGAAGGAATAACACCGCCTTTGATGCATTTTAATTATGCGGAGTGTTTTATGCATGGGTCAGAGTTATCTGAAGTAGTTGTGGATATTTATGCTTACTGTTTTGCATTAAAATTTGTTATATAGCCGTGTTTCTTTTGTAGAATAAGGGATTGGTTCGAACAAAATGACTTTTTAAAAAGTCAATTATATTTTCTGAATTTCGCTGTTTTAATTTAATATGCCTTCATTTTCGTTTTTTTTTTTTTTTTTTTTTTTTTTTTTTTTTTTTTTTTTTTTTTTTTCCCTCTGAAAACCTAAATTAGAATTTAAAGTGATGTTTTATGTACGTCTTTTTCAGCAGTTAAATTTTTTTTTTTTTTTTAAATTGCTTTATATTTTATGCAGAAATTGTTTTTAAAAAGCTACTTAACTATAAGTTGGGAATTCAATATTTCTTTATACGGCGCTATATTTTATCGCAAATTTTTCCGTTTTAGTAAAACAAGTTTATATATTTTTTATACATTCATTATCTTTCAATCACTTAGCTCAGAAAAATGTTACATTTTAAATTTGAATACCAATATTCAGTACCGTCATTTCGTGGGGATTTCGCAGTTTTTGAACTTTGACATGTAAAAAAACTATGTTAATTCAAACTTTAGTAAAATTTATCGATATTATATTCATAACNAATTGTCTCTTATGTGAACTGAGGAAAAATATAATTTCCAGCTTTATTTTTTCAATTGGTAATTTTTATTTTCACTAAATGTTAAGTATCAATGTAGTCGTTTTTATAATAATAGATTAGTACGCAATTGTATGTCAACACATTATTTATTACCTTAAACTGTCTGGAATTTATTATTAAAGGGCTGCGCTTGCGTAAAATTTACTATCGTGGAAATTCAGCTTTTTTGCCTTTTGGCTAATCTCATCCCTGAATAGAAGAGACTTCTATCTTCAAATTTCACACATTTTTAACGTGAAATAAAGATAATACTGAATAGCAGCACTTGAAAAATGCCAAATTCGAATTTGCACTAAGTAGCCCCGCTGCACAAAGTAGCTCCGAATGACGGTAATGAAAAAAAGAACATTATTTTTATTTTATTTATTTATATTTTATTATTAAAAAAAAATGCTTAAACACATGACATATTTCAAAGTATAACACCCTCTGAGGAAAATCAAGTAGAATTTTGAGTTTTTAGCTAATCAAACTAAACTAAACTAAACTCAGCGGCCCTTGAGGGCCAATGCCTACTGCGCCCATCTCAGTTTTCTTGACCTTGCGCTCTTGGGTGCAGGAGCAGATGTTCCGGTCAGGTGGTCAGCCGAACGCGGAGCCCCCAGTGTTTAGTTCCCAAGCATGCTTGGTACTCATTTATCGACCCACTGAAGGGATGAAAGGCTGAGTCCACCTTCCCGAGGATCGAACCAGGGACCTGTGGCATGACAGCGCTTAGAGCTACCGCTCAGCCACCGGGCGTCAGCTAATGAAACTAGATATTATAATAAATTATATGACGCATTGGAAATTTTTCACTAAGTAAATGTATTTCTTACAATTTAAAAAAATGCATGAAAATAATCATTTTTAAAAATTTTTCTTTTATAATTTCTCAAAAACATTAAATTTTTAACTTATAATTAAAAGAGCTTTATATTAACCTCGTTAACAACTTATTAAAGCGTTTACGTATTCGCGTAATCTAAGATTTATATTATTGTTTCTACAATACTTATGTATTGTAAGACCTATATTCTGCCCTGTATTTGAAAAAACAATGAAAGTGCCTCACAATAGATTTCGATTAACGTGGCTTGACAACTATTTTCAATCTATTGCTAATGTTTTAAACGCTCAAATAGAATTTCAAAAAAATTTAATTTAAACAAAATTTATTTTTGGAAAGAAAAAAAATAACTTTTGCAATAAGTAGTTTACCATACATAAATGAATACAGGAAAATGTCAATTTTGAATTTTTTGCCGCTGTGTTAATTTGTGTTTTTTTTTCTTTGCTTATCTTTAAATTATAAAAAATATATTTACCGTGGGATAATTTTCAAGGTATCAAATTATTGTTTGTAATATCTATTTTTATTAACTCAATACTCAGAATTTTTACGTCAGTTTTAAAGGTCCTGCGATTCCTTTATTGGTTTTGCGTTACAAAAATATATTTTGGGGAAATTATGAAAATGAAATAAATGATTATTGCTTTGATACGTTATTCAATTCAAAACATAATAAGAATAAAACAATTCAATTCTTGTGTTTTCTTTCAGCAATCCATAAAAATGATTTTTTATTTCAAAAATAAACTTTTTTATTTTTTGCAGGTGATGGAGGAGAGTTTGTTGGTTGGCAAGGTAAGATCTCTACTACATAATTTTTTACATTATTTTTTTACAGTTGTTTTACATCATTCGCATTATATAATTGAAGTTTGGATTCTGTGATTTTTGTGAGCTGGTTGAATGTAACTAAATTAGTACGATAGACTAGAAAAGGCTCCTGTCTTTTTTGTCTGGTCTATATTTAGTTTCAGGTGAGACTTCGAAAAAAAAAATAATAAATGAGTCCAATCCATCGTTTCTGATAGAAACATAACAACTCTCGACTTGTCTAAACTAAAATATCCGTGCAATTACGACGTTCAAAGAATTTCACTCTCTCGAAAGCTGGAAGCTAATCCTTTTATTTATGATTATTTTCTACTCTTACTCACTTCATTCTTTATTTAAAAAGAAAAAAAAATCACAATCGTCATTTAAAAAAATATTCTTAGATTGCAAGTTTTAAAATTTAGACGCTTTGATTATTTTACTTTCGATTTCAGGTTTGCTATATGAAAATTTCTATTTACATGGCATTAATTTCAGTTGTAGCTAAATTAGTATCTCCATTTTTGTCATCGCAAAGTAATTTTTTTTTACTTGTTATTGTTTTGAAGTTCTTGTATTTTTAATCAGGCCTTAGTTTAGTTTTCCTGGAGAAACAAAACAACATTTGACATATTTGAACGGAAATACCCACGTAATTACAACATTTCTCTGAAGCCGGGAGTTTTTGCATCATTATTATTTTCTACTTTTTCATTATTATTATAATTTATTTATTCTTATTGATATTATTATTTATTTATTCTAAGTGCGCTTCAGCTTTGATTTTTAATAATAACTAAATGGTTAAATTAAAATGTTTTAAAAAATCATTTTAAATTATTTAATTTTTAACTTTAAATTTTCTATTACTGTTAGATTATATTAATTTCACTTGTTATTGTTTTGAAGGTCCTGTCATTTAAGTCTGAGCTATATTTAATTTTGTAAAGGGACTTTAGATTAAATTTTTTAAAAAATGGAAAAAATACAGTTCGTAAACATAAAAGAAACATAACAACCTTAGGCGCACCCGAAAAAAAAAATATCCATGTTATTACGACATTCATGAATGCTCTATCAAAAATTGCAAGCGTTTTCTAATCTTTATAATTATTTTTCTGCTATTTAATCGTTATTATTTACCTTTTTTTTTAATTTAGTGCAATTCTAAGAAAATTTTGAATTAAAATCTTTAAAAATATAAATATCTGCATGTTAAAAAAATATTCTTATATTAGATTGTAAGTTTTAAAATTTAAAGACATTTTCGGTTATTTCAATTTGGGTTTTCTGTTTAAAAATTTCTATTAGATGATATTAATTTGAGTCGATTGACACGATCATTTCATTTCACTTGTTATTATTTTTGAAGTAGCTACCTTTTCAATCAGGCCTATATTTAGTCTTCAGGGAGGACTTAAAAGAAAAAAGAAGAAAAAATCCAATCCATAGTTTTGAAAGAAACATAACAACACTCGAAGTATCCAAACGAAAATATCCATGTAATTACGACATTCATGAATCTCTCAAAAGCCGGAAGCATTTTTTTCTCTTTACTTTTCAAGAGAGAGAGGAGAAAGAAAAAAATCGGATCTTAACAATCATTAAACAACCGTTTTCTTTTTATCCTAGCAACACGTGAAAATGCTCCTCTGGAGTTCTCAGAAATTAGAAACGGTACTTTCTCTCTTTCCCCCTTCCCCACCTCCTTCAGAGTCCAGGGCCCAGAGTAAAGATTTCTTAATGAGACATCAACAAAAATTCGTCAAGTGTTGTCTTCTTGCCAACCCCCTGAACATCTAATTATGATTTTAATGGTTTCCCTGTTTGTGACTGCTACTTTTTTTTTTCTTCTTCTCTCATTTACTTTACCTTCCTTCCCTCCGAAAATTCTTCCAAAGATGTCGTCTGACTTACTCGTTTTCTGTTACGAAAGTGCAATTTGATTAAATCATCTTGTCGGGATGGCCTTATAGTCTTTGCTTTTAGTTTCAGTGTGTAAAAACTTAATGTGTAGAAGAAAAAAAAGTTTTCTGTTGTCTGTAAATCGGTTGCCGATGTCATGGAAAAAAAATCGTAATGGAAGGATAATTTAATGATGTTATTTTTTGTTGCTGATGAACTGTTTTATTAATATTTAATAGGTTTTAAGTCTTAGTGTTAGAAAAAATCGAATGTGAAATTATAAAGAATAGCGTTTAATTATTCTTTAATGTTTCCTGTAGTTGTGAGAGCATTTAAGAAACCTGGTTGGCAGGGCGCAGAACTCACGTTTTGTGAGAACGAGAGTTCAAGTTCGCGTAGTAAATGGTGATAGGTGCACGTTAAATCTGTCGGGATACAAAGTCCTCCTTGTACTCATAACAAATCAATACCTCTTCGCCTCACAACATCCTCGCGTGCCTGGGGCTCACCAAACAGGATTTAGCAGATGATCCATGGACGGTGTTGGATTTTTTGAGGGTGTATAACATCATGAACCAGGTCTAGCACTGCTGGCCAATGGGGGCGTGCAACAACAACATACCTCTAGTATACTGAATTGGAGATGGATCGTTCTCTGGTTCAGATCAAAATTACGATCCGTGGATGAATGAATGAGTCCACCCTATAAACCGGTGTGGCAGAAATCGAATTGTTGGCCATAGATGGCGCCACCGGAAAACGAGAACAATCGCAGCCACTCTGCCTTAATATCCGACATCACCAACAGATACCTAGTTAAAGCTTTCTCATTTACTCTACCATCCTTTCACCCAATAATTCTTTCCAAGATGTCTGATTTACTCGTTTTCTGTTACAAAAGTGCCATTTTATTAAATTATGTCGATATGCCGGATAGTCTTGTTTTTTGGTTCACTGCGTCACTTGATGTAACGAAAAAAGTTTTCTGTTGGCTGTAAGTCGATTGATGATGGCATGAAATAAAGATTCATAATAGAAAGATAATTTAATGGTGTTTTTTATTGACGAACCGTTTCGTTAATACTTAATAGGTCTTTGATTGTGAAATTAGCGAGAATAACATTTAATTATTCTGTAATGTTCGCTGTAGTTGTATAAGCATTTGAGATATCTAGTTAGAGCTTTAAATATCTTCTCAAAGTATCGTTAATTTTTAGTGTAACGAAGTTATGTCCACTGTAGTCTGCTTAAATATTGAGCCTAGTAAGCTATTTTTAAAATTAACTTTAGGAAATAAAAAACCTTGTAACATATAGAAATAGAACAAGCTTAGTTTCACGCATTAAGATGTCTGTTCTTGCCCTTCGTCTTCTGTAATGAAAGTGCAATTTAATTAAATCATCTTGTCGAGGTGCCTTTAGTTTTTCTTTCTTTTAGTTTCACCATGTCACTAAATGTGAAGAAAAAAGTTTCCTGTTAGCTGTAAGTCAGTTGTTGATGACATGAGAGTTTCGGAATGAAAGGAGAATTTGATGTTTTTTTTTAAATATTTATAATGAGTTGTTCAATTAATTTTTGATATCTTCAGAATCTTTAATCGATTTAAAAAAAAAAACATAATTGAAATTCTAATAGCATTTATTATTATTTTATTTTAAATATAGTTGTCGGATGTTTTTATAGTCCGTGTATACATTTACTCAATTTTTTTTTTAACTCAACTTTTTATAAAATAATAAATAAAAAAAGGGAACTAAAGTAATTTTACTTATAAAAATGATTTCCTGTCGACATTTTCATATCTAGCCGAGTATTTGGGAATATTTTCCTTTGGATGAGGATTGAATTTCTCCCTCAGGAGTTGCAAAGTATTCCACAATTTTATCGAACTCGATATCTTATTTATTTGCCACAAATAGAAAAACCACTTTGAATCTTCATTTGCTCGCATTTTTTTTTCTTCTCTCTTTTTTTTCAAAAATTTTTCCACGTGTGTTTATTTTTTTCTTCTTTCTATCTTACACGTCTCCCTTCATTTTGCGGCTGCTGACTTTGCGTAGGTTTGACATTAACAAGTCGCACTTTTCTGGAATAAGACCGGATGAAAAATTACATTCGGTTCCCTTTGATTCTACTAATGAAAGCGGACCACTTTTAAAAAAGGTATCCTTCTGTCTGCCCTTCCCATTGCAAAACAATAAATAGATCCTCTGTGCTTTGCGATAAAAACAGGTGGATAAAAATTCCATTTTGTAATGAAAAATACAGTCATTGTTTCCGCCTGGACGCTAAAACTATGCTTCAGATAATTTAGTTTTTTTTTTAGTTAATTTTTTGTCATTATGCATTGTGACGATTTTTTTAAAAAAAATCAGCTGTGCGTTGCTGTTTTAATTCAAGTATGAATAATTTCTAAGGATTTCATGCATATTAATTTACCTCGATTGAGTTTATTAAGTAAATGTTGATAATTGTAAGGGAAAATGATAATCTTTGTGATTCGTTTAAAAAAAAGTAATTGGCCTTTTTTTTTTTTTAGCTTATAGAAACATTTATTAATTACAAATGTGGATAACACTCGGGGTTAATTAAATTATGAAGTTACGTTATTTTTTAAATGTAACTAACATTTTGTTATGGAAGCAAATATTGATTAGTTAGCATATAAAACAATCATTATGTAAAAAAAAAAAAATGGCGTCATAAAATAAGCTTATAAAAACTTTAAAACAACTACTTAGCATTTTACTTAATTTATTTAAGTTTAGTTTCTTTTACTGTGGGCTCTGTGTATATCGCTGTTTTATTACATTTTTATTTTAATTTATTCTATTTTTAGCTATTTCTATTAGCTTTGTATTTCAGCTTAGAGTTAAAAATAAGTATTAAAATGATTATTATAAGTATTAAGATTATTATTTATTTTATTAACTGAATTTCAATTTACTCGTAACTCTCTACTGCATGTTTAAACTATTCATAAAATTTTTTTTAATTATGACGATCGTTTCATGCATTTTTATGAAACAGAAAAATATGATCTTAGTATTTTCGTGTAAATTATTTATTTAATCCCTACT